AAATCTGTCTCGTGCATCTGCTGCGTCAGTCACACGGTGGCTCATGACGCGTGTGCAACAATGAATGATACGCAAAGTGGCGTCACATAAAGGTTGCCACCTATCCTGGTTTTCCCAGTATTTCCTCTTTTTTATTGAAGTATCTGCTGCCCTAGGACATCTGTAAGCCTTCCTGGGATGTTAAAAGTACCAGGTTTTTTTTTTGTCAGCTGCATAATAACATTATAATAATAATAATACATCACTCAAGTCAATGCATTTACATGCAGCTCTCTGCTCTTCTGAGTATTGGTAAATGTTATTTGCCCCACGATGTGTGCCGGTTGTTTGTACCTACTGGAGTTTTATCGAGCCGAGAGTCACTGCTGCGATAAGAATATTTTCCTTTGCTTCTTTGACAGAATAGGAGAGAGAGAGAGAGAGCGAGCAGATGCTAATCCAAAGTCTTTTTTTCTCAGTCGGTAAATGATAATGGCGATCATCAACACAAATAGTTATTCTATATCCACTGATGAATGAAAGCCTCCCCGAAGCCTCCGGTTACATGCAGCTATAATCCATCTTGCACCTAAATGCGCTATAATTCAATTTCCCCTTCTCTTTCCTGATTGCCCATCACCGGACTCTTCCTTCCCCTGTGCTGTCATTCTATCACCCCGTCCGTCTATCGATCATCCGTTACAACTACTCATCCACCCCGGCCCCCCAAATAAAACGTTGAATATATTGTTGATATTTTTTTCAGGCTGCCAATACCAGTTTATATATTGTAACCCGCGCTGGTTTAATACAAGGATTTTATATATATAATTATGAGCACACATATAAAACAACATGCGGCAAGATGCCTATAATATCCTCTCTGTGTTATGTTGTTTTTGCGCGCGCGCGCGTGTGTGTGTGTGTTTCTAATAAGGCTCGTGTAATTGCGTTTGCATTGAATTTGCGTAACGATCGTTTAGGCAGAAGCAGCGGTTTCAAGGTTTTCAGCCGACGACGGCCCATTATCATCACCATCATCATCCTCCACAATCCTTTGCCGCAGCTGTTCCCAACAAACCAGTGCCGTTCGTGAAAGTTCCCTTTGCCTGCGTGCTCCAGTCGGAGACGCGCGCGCGCGCGCGACACACCGAGCACGTCCGCAGAACGACACGCGCAACATTTTGCCACCGCCCGATTCGACTCGCTCTTCTTCTCTTGCCGAGTCAACATCGTGACTCGTGAAGGCAACGAGACGTCCGTAGGAGGCAATGCAATGGCGAGTGGGCACACCTGGCAAGTGATTGCACACACCCCAGATGAGGGGTTGGAGTGTGTGGGGGGGGGGGGGAAGAAATGTTGTGCAGGACAGGTAATTAGCACGTAGGTAATGCAGATGCAGTTATTGTTTTTTTTTTGCCACGTGCTATGGAAAAACAGACGAGTCCTCTCCTCTCCGTCTCTCTCTCTCTCTTGGCTACGTTGAAGCGCAACTTGCCCACCAACCCCACCCCCACCCCCACTCCCACCGCTTTCTGAGATCGCTTCTTGTGTTGAATTTGTGGTAGGACAAGAGACGATCCTCTGGCGATCCAAGATGCGTCTGTTCGAATTAAAATCACGTGGCGTGGCCGTCAGCTGCAGGACACGTCAACTTGACACGTGCTTGACTGTCTGTGGTATTGCGTAAGCACGGAGTGGGGAGGGGGGGTAACCTCCCGTGCCAAAGAACGCAATATTTTGAATGTATCCAGATTCACAGCGCAGGCTCGTCATGATGTGCACGCGTGAGTTATGAACGCCAAGAATGTTCAGTCACCTCTCGCCATATTCTCAACCGAAGGCGCGTTAACTGCTTAACAGCTGCTCGTGATAGACGATACAATAGATTGCGTGCTTAACTTTAGATTAAATATTAAATACGAGACACCTGTGTAGGGTTTGCCAAAGCAAAGGACACGTATCCCCCGTATAGCCTTTAATAGCCTGTTGGGGCAAGGGCTGTTAGCGAGCACCTATGAAGGTCGGCACGGTACACGAGGGGATGGGTGGCCGGCACCACGTCCCGGCCGTCTTTGTCTCGCCTGTGCGGACGTTTACACGCTGCGTCAGTTTAACACGGAGGCTTTCGCGACCAATATCATCCGCTGCGTCAACTACTCATTCTGCAGCGAGTCGACTAAGGAAAAGCTCACTTATCCGTCACGTGTTGGTCGTGAGCGGGAATTGAACTTGGGTCTCCGACTTCGCAGCTTAGTGAGGTAACCGCTCCACTAACCGCTTCTCCCTCTGTGTGTGCGCGCGCGTGGTACGATGTGAACACACACACAAAACAAACACTTCCCGGAGCTTAGAGTTGCCCTTGACTATTCGTCCAAGTCCCAGTGTCATGCCCTACCTCACTCAAATTGGAATTGCAATAACAATAATTGGTGAGTGCCTTACAAAAAATATATAGTTGGCTTCGTGCCCTTGATTAGATTATATTTATCAGCCGCGTGCCACAGAAAGGGAAGCAACTCGCAGACGCAGCAAACTCATGATTCGTGTACACAATGCAGGCGCTCTCCACAAATTAGATATGCATTCACAGAATTGTATTTTGCAATTTTCATTAATGGCCATTGTTCTCGGCTGGACGTGCGTCTGATATTAGTAAGACAATGGATTTAATCAAAATTCTTCATCTAATTAAACCCCATAGACTCCGGCACACCCTAGCAAATGTGCCAGTCTGTCCCTCCTGGCGCAAATAGTAAATCCACGGAAGACTTCGAAGTAAGCTCGTGTGCCCGCCGATTTACTCTCTGTGCTGATGCTTCACACTTGCATTAGTGACCGCACGCGAGCTCAAAGCGGTGACTTCTCGTTGACCTCTTCAATAGAGACAGCCCGATGTCAGCTACAATGCTGGCCTAGATTTACTGAGGCTAACTTGGGGGGGGGGGGGGTTCCTCCCAGCAATGAGTTTTTTAAATTTATTTTTGCCCCCTCTTTCGGCTATGTTGAAATGCAACTTTGACACTGTTCCGCCACTCTGAAATTTGGACGGATGGCGATGCCTGTACGCACGTTTGCTGAACGAGTTTTTGTTCGCACCGTACCGTAGCCAACAGCGCATCAGCAAAGAGTTCAAGCATGTTCTTAGATTCACCACGTGAACTTCGACACCTACATTTCGTAGGCAGCCTTTATTTTTGTTGTTACCAAAGCTATCCGTTATTTTCACGGTTTGTTTTCTTCTTCTTCTTCTGCTTGCGAGCTGTGAACTCCAGCAGATGGTTCACCTCTCTCATTCCTCACACCCGTGCCCACATTTACCAATCGCCTTTCTTGTCTCTGCACATGCTAACCTACCTTTGCATAAAAGTCACCGAGTACGATGTTGCACTTCGTTTTATCCATGTGTAGTGGTTGGCCAATGTCCCCATCATACATTGGGGTCTGCTTATTCATCTCTGTAGCTTGCTGTTGAATTGAGCGTATGATCTCTAACTTGTAGCGTTTTGAGAGCCTTTGACGTATTCACTTGCAACTCTGATTTCATCATCTATGATGACAGCAGTGTAGCTGTAACCGCATGGTACATTAGGAACCACTTGGTAATAACATCAGAGTGTAAGGGTCTACAGTATTTGCCCCTCTGGTGTAAAAGGCTATCTACAATTGTCTTTGGGGTACCGCGGTGGTGAGATGTTAACTACCTCGCCTGGTATACAGGAGGTCGTGGTTTCGATCACGACCCTGATGCCCGCATATTTTGAGTGTGTGTGTCTTTCTCCCCGTGGTTGCGTGGATTTTTCTCCGGATCCTCCGTTCTTTCCCCCCTCCACATTTAGAATCAACATCACGCGTTTCAAGTATTTGGCTGCTGTACATTTTCCATTGATAAGCCACTTCGTTGAGCTATCATTCGTGATAGCCAAGTCGCTTCTGAAAAATAGCTACATAGTTATGTGGTGCCTTTCCTTGGTCAAATAAAAATATACATTGTTTAGTTTCAGTAAATACACACGAGGGCACATTCAAAATGAATTCCACGTGCTGGCCGATATTCTCTGCGCCTGTACTCACACTTGGAACGGTAGCGGTGACACCTCGCTGACCCCATCAATATTTTCCCATACGCCTGGTGCCCCCACCCCCACCTACCAGCGCAAGTATTTTCATGTGGAAAGTAAAAGAGCACGTGCAGAAAAAGTGGAATGAGCCCCCTGCTCCTGGCTGCTCTGTTTAGTTTTACTCGGAGGACGTTGTTATGTAAGAGCCAACACCGCCAAGTGCCGCTCATGCACATTACGTGTTCTGCTCAATCACCTCCTTCACCCAGAACAATGCACGTGTGTACGTTGAACTTCTTTCGCACCGTACGTAGCCAACCGTGCTAATCGGAGGTGTGGAGGAGGTGAGGACAACTTTTTTAAGCGCGAATTTTTTTCTAAAGAAATGAGTTTTCAATCTAAAAAGAAATTCGCTTTCAATCTAAACAAGACACATTTGTCAACACATTGTTGTAGGGGAGGGTAAACTTGAGCATTAGCAATACATGAAGCATGGTTTAATATATAGTTATATATTACACATCATTAGATTACGACCAGACGAAGCAAAAGCTATCCTTATATTTTTTTTACAAAAAATAGTTTTTTTTATTTTTATAAATTTGACAATTATCTGAAATGCAGGACAATCCTGGAACGGAGACACACCGAGTGGTACGACTCAGTGGCGTCTTTCTGGCAAGACAAAGCCCTTTCACCGGTATAGGCATTGCTCACCGACCGTGTACTTTCCAAGCACACTTTGAGTCGCGTACACTAAAAAAAAAGCGTAGCAACGCCAACGCAGGGAGATGAACACTTGAGATAAACACTTAAAATTGACCACTGTCGTGGGTAATTATTCGTATTGAAATAATATATATATACACACACAGACACACACAATCAAGCAAGCGCACAATACGGCTAATCGCACATCGTGCCGTGCGCGAAGCCGCTCACGGTCCCTCCGCCTCTCACCTGTGCCGACTCGAGTCGATCGGGTGGCTTGAGGCCACAGGCGTTGCGAACTCGCCTTGCTGGGATCTGTTTCACCTGAGCCCCGCGCTCACGGTCTAACGCTGGAGCTCACAGCCGGATATCGAACGGCAGAACAACCCCCGCCGCCCTCCTCTATACCAGCAGCGGCAGCAGCAGCAGCAGCAAGCAGGCAGACGACACCTCACAACACAGCGAATCTCGTGCGGAGGAGCTGCGTGCACCGCGCGCGCGCACGCGTACGGCACATTTCACGAGAAGACGCGCGATGCATGTCGCGGTTACTGATCTCGCGTTGTGTTCGATTACTGATGCCGCCGCCTCCCCTTGCCTGCCTGGCTTCCCACCGCTCCTCCGCTTTTGTGGATATGAGCGCTTGTTCCAAGCGGCTGGTGCGGGGGAGGGGGGGGTGGTGGCGTTTTGATGGAGAGACCCCAAGAACCGGGTCGCACCTCCCGCAAGCTACGAAGCCTCCCAATTGCGATGCGAGCAAAGGAACGATCGAACATCCACCTCGCTCTCTTCACACCCGCCCCGCCCGCCCGCCCGCCCGCCCGCCCGCCTTCTCGCTCGCTCTGTCTCTACCCCCAACCTCCCCCTCCTCTCTCTCTCTCGTCAGCCCCACGCTGTCGGTTCCCTCTTTCCTGAAAGCGGCGTCGTGCGGGAGGAGCGAGAGGCGCGCCAGGACCTCGCGTCTTGATCGGCGACGTCACCGAGTCGGACGCGCTCCGACAAGATGACGCTCCGCGCGCAACGCTCTCGCTCGAGCGGCGATCGTCGCAATCATCATTATCAGCATCATCACGACGAGTGGAACTTTGTTGTTGTTGTTGTTGTTGTCCTTGTTTGTCTTCTGCGCATCGATTTATAGCGGCGGCGGTCGCGTGCTCTCAGCGTATTAAATCACAGCGCCTTCGCCGAACAGCCGACGACACCGAAAACACCACGGTCGTGATTTGACGGTTGGCAATAATATTGAGGGTGATGATGGGAGTGTAAAAGTTGCACAACGGACGTGATTGTTTCCGGGCACACTTTTTTCGTGTGCCTCTTCTTTACCGCAAAACACACGTGGCGCGCACGCCGCGCTGAATATTAAGCAGCCGAGGGAGGCGGGGTGGGGGTCCCACATAGAGCCCCCCTTTTTAACCCTCCAGCCCCCCCTGTTTTAACCCTCCAGCCCCCCCTCTTTTAAGCCTCCAGCCCCCGTCGCTGAATTCTCTGTTAGAGCCACGCCAAGCTTTGGCGAGGCCGTGGCGTGATTCCAAACGTTTGATTATTTCATTCGTATTTGAAGCGAACATCATTCGATGGAGTAGAAGAATATATTTTTAGCATCCCTAGGTCATTCTAATAGCCAGTTCTGACCGTGCACGTGCATAGAAGCATAACACCGGTGTGTCTCCACATATAAATACATATATACAAAAAGATTGTCCGTGAACCTATTTACTCGATTGGCTTTCCACAGAAATATTCTCAAGAAGGAACATTTGTTCAAGCAAGCAAATTTGTGGGGCTAGGTGTCGGCCTAATGGGTCTCACATCAGCAGACCCAGGCTTGTTAAACAAATGCTACTGCGTGAACAAATGTCACAGGTAAGAAGAGCAACGCTTCCTATAAACTAGGGGACCCTCGTTTAAGGAAGGGTGGTGGGGTTTGCGGGAAGTAATAACAGCGTACAAGAGAAACGTATGCATCGGCAATACCTGCAAACCTGCCCTATGCAAGTCGGCGTGACCCATTGAATCGTGGCGTGATTAAAATCAGACGCGGTTTAGGGGGGAACACGGTTTAACTACGCTAAGGGAGTTTTAGCTCGAACGCAGCGTTGGCGGTTAATCACGCGAGAGAACTCGAAAGGCAACGCGAACAACGATCCCAAGTCATTTAGAATCGGGTCCTCTCTTAGTGTGTACGGCTGTTGGGCTCTCTGGTGAATAACGCACGCACACACACGCGTGGCGTGTCCAAAACGCACCGTTCCGAGCTCAGCGAGACGCTGGGCTGTGAATGAGAGCATGCACCCAGCTTAGGGGGCCGTCCATAAATTACGTCACGCGATTTTGGACGATTTTTGACCCCCCCCCCCCTCGTGACACGGCGTCACAAAAAGTCAGACCCCCCCCCTCAAATATGACGTCACAAAGTTCTGCCCCCCGCCCCTCCTTAAAAAAAAATAAAACATGTTTCAAATCGCTTTAAACTATTGTCATTGTAGTGCGTATTTAATGTGCCGCTGCACTTTGATGTTATAGGAGAAATCATTAATCAAAACGTCTCTTTAATTAAGTATAACGTGTTGTCTATATTTATTTAAAGTTGCGTATTTTGATGTGACGTCACATTTCTCACCCCCCCCCCCCCGTCACACAGAGTCACAAATGTCTGACCCCCCCCCCCCCCCCAGGTGCGTGACGTCATTTATGGACGGCCCCTTAACCCGAGTTCGATTCCCGGCCAGGAACCCTGACCCTTTTGCCCCGTCCCCAGCATCGCCAACGCGTGGTTAATTATGGTCAAACAAACACATATGTACAACACTGCGTACCGATGCCTTCACTATGCATATAACCACATATTGTTTAACCTCAGTTCTGATATAAGCAACACATTGCATGACACTGGTTGGGGGAGGGATGCAAAGAACACATTTTTATACGAGCACACCACTTCGGATATAAGCACACGTGTGCTTGCTCCTAAGGAGCGTGCTTATATCCAGCTATTATTGTAGACCTTCCCTGTTTATGTATTTGTAAAGAAATAAACGTGCATTGGACGGTGTAACACTCGCGTCTTTTTTTGGCAGCCGTGGAAGATACGTGATGAATGAAAGGCAGAAAAAAATCAAAACCCACCGATACACAACTTTCATAAATGATTCACCTAATGAGACATCGATATACGGCCGCTGAAGTTGTAAATATGGAAGGATTGGCGTTATTTTCTTGACCCGACCACGACTTTAACGCCTGTGATCGAAGGGAACCCGCCGACCCCGAGTTACGGTCCCCTGTCCAAGGCTACCATCGGTGGCGAGCGATAGCCGGGTCGTGACCAGTACGGTTACATTTTTTATATATTATGTATAAATATGATCACACAGCTCCCGTGGCCGAAACAGAGTGGGCGGCCTTCAATTCACCAGTGGATTTATATATATACGGAATGTTAATATTATATATTCGAGCACAAATTTGGTAAGTGTAAGAAGAATTGTGCTTAACGCACGGGTGCATGGAGTGGTACGGGGGGGGGGGGGTGGTACACGCGTGGACAGCCCACGTGGCATGCCTGATTACAGCTCGCCAGAGCCTTTATATGGCCACGCGGGCGAGTAAACACGTGAAATATTTAGGAACCCACACAAATCCAATACCCCACCCCCCAGAGAGCAAGCATGCGCGTGTGTAATCTTATATATATATAAAAACACATATAATTCAGCCATTTTCAACCCACTGCTGGATGAAGGACTCACCGCTTTACGTCGGTCATGCGGTTGTTTCTTTTTAACCATACTTCACCATCACCTTGCATGTGTATAAGCTTCGTAGGGGTTTTTATTTTTTTATTTTGCGTGAATTCAGTGGCAAGTGATATCGGCGCCGGTATCGTCTTGACCACAAGCGTGGTCAAGACAACGCACGTGGTCCTCTCACGGCGCGGGGAGGCCTTCATCCGGCAGCGGAATTACTTTACATCGGGCGATTAAATATTCCGAATGTATGCAATGTATGTGACTTACACCCTCTCTCTCATAGCAGCCAAGTATTGCCTCGCGGCAGTTTCGTAGATGGGGGCGACAACGATGGGCTGAACAGAGAGACACATTAGCCTACACTGTGTTGGCCCACGAGGAGCATATGTAACTGCATCGTGTAAACATATATGTCTGCACATCGCCCATTATTGCACAGTACACGGGGGTAGGGGCTGGGGCCCCTTGGGATTTATCGCGAAATAAACAAACTAGTAACACGATAAGACGTGGTGATAAGCGCTGTTTCCCCCTTCACCACCACCACCACCACCCGTCCAGCCCATCCGCTCCCCCCTCCATCTCTCTCTCTGGGATAATTTCTCTTGTTGCGTCGTCAAGTTGGGAAATTGTTGCGTCACAATCGCTCTCTCGGTGCGGGTCACCTGGCGGGACTCGCGCTGTGTGTCTGCGGGGTTCCTCCTCCTCGTGATGACGCCGCAGTGCGACCGCTCAAAATAAACTGCTGCCCTCCGCCTACAGGATCAGAATATGTATTTATACCGGAGGAATCCGATGAGCTATAAAGCTCTTTTTTCCACAGATGTCCAGTAGGGGCACGGGGTCAGAAAGGTTACAACAACACACAGTACAAAAACACGAAAGGAGTGCAAAGGATAGGGAATGTAAGAATATCACACACAAAAATACAACTAAATATTTTTTTTTTAACCAGGTAATGCTCTGAGCTATTGGCTTCTTTTTCAGAAGAGACCTGGCCACAAATGATAGCTCAACGAAGCGGCTTATCGTGTGGAAATGTAAAGCGACCAAATAATCGAAATAATTCATCTAACACGGCACGGGCACACCTTATTTTGCAGGACGAACGATTGATTTGCACGAGCTGAGACCCAGCATGGTCGAAATCGCTCCAGAGGTTTTTGCCGATTGATAATGTTGGTCTGGAAAGGCATAATGGTGATGGATGCAAATAATATATAAATATGGTTTGTCTGTATACACGGAGAGAGACAGATTAATTACACGTGGCGCTGCCGAAATTTGCCGTTACCCTTCGCGGCTTCACGAGCGCGCAGAACGAGTTTGTGCGCGGTGCCGCTTATCGCGTTAAATGTGTTTCCCGTGGTGTTTTTTTTTTGTTACGGGATGCTCTTTCCAGTAACGTCTGTACACCCGTCAGCATTTTTTTTTACAACCCTGCTGATGGGATCCAGAGGGTCGAAACCAGTCAACCCCCGAGTTATAAATGCTCCGATACGTGCATAGTTCTTGTACTATTTCGGATTTTGGCTTTCTCTGGTCCGACACTGGTGGGACTAGGCCCTAAAGAAGGCTGTCACTGGTGTAGCCCAATCAGTTTTAAAGACAATGCAAATATTATCAGAGCACGTTTGTTTGCATTATCACCACAGGAACGTGTGGTAAATGCAGAATTGATTCCTTGCAAAAGGTATCTCTCTATCTGGTGTTTGAACATCTTAACACCTGTTTTAGTGCCAGAAAGGATAAAACCTATTCTTATTTGTCATAAGTCCGGAGTTTGTTTGCTTAAACATATACTGCACGGTAACGTTTGGTCTGGAAATCCTATCACTTGATCAACTAAAACACCCCGTGCTGTATTTATACGTGGAGACAGAGGACAGAGTTCTGTTTTATATTTGCTTTGAGCTGTATAGATATTGATTGTTTAGTTGTAAAAAAAGCGTGTTTGCACATTATTAGCACGGTTGGCTATACATTGATATATATGTGTGTGTATATACATCTCATTTCATCAATTCACTGCCAGCCTACGCGCTCTAG